ACAAGGGAGGTCAGTGAAACGCATTTATGCCAGGTTGCGAATTTACATTTAGCAGCGGAGAAATGAGCGGTGAGATTTGCTGCGAGTCAGTGGCGAATGAGGCATCAAAAAACCTTTTTCACCTTAATACACTCTTCTGTCGATGCGAGGGATTAACATATTGACTAGCGCGATTTTAACATCGGCAAACTTGTAGCTTAGCCAAGTTCTGCGTACCATTATCTAATTACGCGGCCATAAAGTCGGAAAATTTCAGAGACCAGCCTACTCACTAATAAGGCCTTGTGCGTCCGCGTAAAAACAGGATAGTTATTTGTAAAGCTACATCACGGTTAGACACAGGCAGATAACCGCTACACATCCAGGAAAGCGCAAAACGGCCGTTTTGTCTCATTGTGACTGGTCAATGACGTACATCAGCTGAATCTTGCCGGATAAGTACCCGCGAATTTACTCTTGCGAGCAAGCGAGTTATGCCATTGAGTATAGGCGACGGCAGTGGACCGTGGTCCCCGCGACGCATCTTCAAAAAATACCCGATGAAGCACGCTACTACTTAAACTAACCAGTAGCCTTCTTCTCAGCTTACGTGCCAAGTTGACTGCTGGCAACTTGTAAAAGAAATCGTGGCTCTGAGGGCCAGTCCGCTCTCCTGCACCTACATAATATGCATGTCAGTGGAGGATGAGCCGCGGTCATCTGCCGTCGCCTATAGCTCAATGCCATAAGTCCCTGACTCGCAAGATTAAGGTCCTGGGTTCGAATCCGGAAGGATTCGGTGGATGTGCGCTACTTAGTACTCCCAATATGAGGAAACAGTCGTCTTGCTCTTTCCTGGATGTGTGGTGGCTATCCGCCTGAGTCCAAATGGGACGCGTTTTCACAACGTACGCAATAACTCCCCCTAAAACTTAGAAAAAACAGGACAGTCAATAAACAAAAGTGCGTTAGCGGATGTGGAGTCAATAATGGAGATAGTGCCAATGATTATTGATTCACACACCATCCGACATTCTGAAGAATCGGCTGTAGACGTTCGGTTTAGTTACACGATCGCTTGCCGCTGTTCAGGCTATGATGCTCTTCCTCACTTATCCGGATTTCATCAGTTGGATCCATCTCCACGCAGAGCAATATTATGGAAAGATTCACGAAGCTGCCCGTCCCTATGAGTTACCAGGCAGAAGAGGTTGTGTATCAACCGCCTTTAACCGAGTTTCTGTTGGCCGCCTCTTGCCGACTTTTGGCTAGGTTTGCAAGATAACAATCACCTTCCTACTTCTTTCACCTTACCCCTTGTATTTGCAAATATTGTCAACCCCTTAGAAATTCCTGATGTACGAGTGGTGTTCAAAAAGAAACCGAACTTTTGAAATAACGCGGCAGCCAGCAGAAGGAGCAAGCTGCAGCTACTGAGCGCATGTTGAAGCTTGCTTAGACAACAAACTGCCATTTGCCCCATTTCGCTCTGACTGTTCGTTGTGGAGTCACAGCACCTGGACTGCGCACGTGTACAAGCGTAACGCGTTTTTCCTACCCTTGAAATTCTTCTACTCTTCGTCTTACGTGGTCCAAGTCTAACTGATCTAACCGTACCCTGGGGCCGCACCGGTTGATGGTTAGCGACCAGCGTTCAACGTGAGCCTGCCTTTACATTCCCATTGTTAGAGCTCGTTGAAGGTAGTTGTCAGTGTCTGTGCATGCTAATCCCGGCAACTGGTTCCGTGTGTGCGTCTACCGACGACCTTGGATCTCCAACCCTACTCTTCGCCGAACAGGACATGTTCAGCCCGGCGCATGTGTCGCACCCCCTCCCCATTCACTGGTCGCTTGTCCAATACACCATGTATATGGGATGGGGGATTGTGAGGATGGGGTGGTGGGTTGATGAGTGTGGTGGGGGGGGTGTTTATGGGATGGTGTGGGGGGGGGGTTGGGGGGGGGGGGGGGGTGGAGGGTGGGGGGTGCGGTATGAGTATGGGGGGGGGGATTGGGGGGGATATGGTGTGATGCACAAGTTCTTGTTCCATTGGGTATCTATCCGTCTAAACTCATACCCCAGTGAAGGACAATCCCCCATAGATTGGTCGTGAATTCGCATTATTCCTTAATACACGTAGCGAGCGCTCAGGTGTTGACGTTGTTTCCCTTGAGTTGTCCGGGCTTAAGAACAACTCGTCTCTCCCTAATGAGTTTACTAACTACCATTGTTAGTCAAACTTGCCATTACACCGGGATAGCTGCACAATTGAAGTGTGTCCCATATTATCATACTGTATTATTTTTATAATAAGTAGTAGTTCGATAGATTGGTATTATCACTATATATATAGTAATAATTAGTATTTTGCGATACCGACTTCTTTTGATTTCGGGATCATTGGCTACACGTTATTCAACTTCACGGTGGACGTTCGTTTTCACAATTTGGTTCTCGCTTCGACGGATTGCTTAATTGGATACCTCGGTTTGGTGGCACTCGTAATCGGAAGTGCCAAATTGGTTCCTCTTTCGCAATGCCAGTCACCCGCGATTCCACCCGGACAAAGGACTCATCCAAGTAAAGGCAAGTCCCTCTTGTTCAGCTTCTCTCACGTCCTGGACTTCGGGTTAGCTATGGAAATTCAGTTAGCAGTACGCGCGCACAGCTCCTGCTTGCTGAGTTGAAAGAAAAGCAGCTCAAGGAGGACTTAGAAGTAGAAACTAGGGAGCAGGACATGCAGACAGCGTTGACTGTTGACGGCTAGGACAGGAGGTCGAATGCGCCCAGCGTTGAAGCGTTGCTGGAAACGAACAGGCGATGTAGACCTGCCCGCACTCCCTATTTATCGTCAAACAGAGTTGACGTAGTTTGTCATCACGGAATGTGCTGCGGTGGCTGGCGAATCAACCATCCGACGGTTGTTATGACGATTTGCCGGCATGAACCCCTCACTGCGCACGTTGGTAATGCGCTATACCGTCGCTCTCGTCCCACTTATTGCGGAAGCTGGTCTCCCTCAAAGTAGAGATGGCTTATTTCGATAGGCACCCAGCTGACTACTGGGGGTTCGTCAAGCAGTTTGAGTTCTATGTGGAGAGCAAGGTGGTAGATGACGGAAGACGTCTGCTCTATCTCATTCATTACCATAAGGGACGAGCTAGACTGACTATTGGCAACAGCGTAATGCTGCCGCCCGGTCAGGGTTATGAAGGAGCTAGATGTATCCGTCGAGACCTCTTCGGGCAAGCACACTACATTACTAGGGCATTGATAGAAGGCCCACTTCAAGGCGCGAAGTCCATTCCCAACAACGCAGATGCCATGTCGGAATTGGTCATTAAGATGGAGAATTGCGATATCACATTGAAACAAAGGAACTATGAGGCAAAAGTAGACTCCTCCACCACCCTAGAATTTATAGTCCGTGCCCTACCGAACCCCCTGCAGTACAAATGGGCCTTAGTCGTCGATCAGCTAACGCTTAGTGGTCATGAGCGCAGTTTTCTGAAGTTAACCACATTTGTTTCATCGCGGGCACGCATAGCTCGCAGCCGGTTCGGACAGTTAGCCGATCGATCATCCCGTGGTGTCGAAACGACTGTTACGAGAGCTACTCCAAAGAATGAGTATCCGGCCATAAGTAGCCATTACGCTGATCTTAGCACTACGTCGCCTGCCCGCCCCACCCACTCCTGCCCCGTTTGTTCGGACCACCACTTGGCCGTATAGTGTGGAATATTTAGAGAACTGGACATATTGCAACAATGGGAAATATTAAAGAGAAATGTCAGAAAGGTGTGCCGCCTGGAGGGCGATGAGTGGCAGCGCTTAAGTCTGGCTTGAGGTGCAGGGTGGTAGTCATGGAAAACGGCTTTTACCCAATCGCTTCGATGCCAAAAGACGCCCGCGAACGGCGCTTGGTGGGAGTCATGGAAAACGGCTCCTGCCGAAACGTTCTCGTGTGGATCCGTTGCTTTCCCTTCTGTTTTTCTAAGAACCGCTACTGTAGGCAGTTGTAGGACCGAGAGCCAGAGTGGAGAAGGGGACGTACGAGACGTCAATCGCAGAAGAATTTCGGAGGACAGTGTAACGCGCTTATCTAACCATGAAATTCTTCTACTCTTCGCTTCGTGGTCTAGTCTACCGAACCTGGGCCGACTCGTTGATGGATATCGACCAGCTGTTCATCGTGAGCCTCCTTACATTCCCATTGTTAGCGTTGTAGGTAGGTAGTCTGTGTGTGCATGCTAATCTCCGGGCACTGGTTCCGTGTGTGCGTCTACTGAAGACCTAGGATCACCAACCCTACTCTTCGTCGAAGAGGACACGTTCAGCCCGGAGCATGTTTTCGCACTCCCCTCCCCCATTCACTGGTCGCTTGTCCAAACACCGTTTATTGCGTGCCATTAAACTCTCACTCTGTGATTGGACTATCCCTGATTGGTCAACGCTATTTGTCTTAATACTCGTAGCGCTCAGGTTGTGGTGACTTGTTCCCTTGATTGTTCCGGCGTAGACAACTCGTCCCTCCTATTGTTTACTAACACCTTGTTGTCACTTGCATTCACCGGGATACCGAACAATTGAAGTGTGTCCCAATTATCAACTGTATATATCTTAATAGTAACCGTAGTATTTTGCAATCCGACTTCTTTTGATTTCGGGATCATTGGCTATGCGTTATTCAACGTTCACGGTGGACGTTACACAAGCTGTTCGTCGGATTAGTGCCAAGGAGACCAAGCAAGTGTTGGAAGAACAATTTGAGTGTGTGAATGATTTTGCTACCAACTTGCCAAAACGTTTACGGAGACACTACAATTTCTTAGCCAAGCATCTGGAGAGAACTGTATTAGACTCATGCCGTGCAATGAGTGGCTTAAGTATTTTGAACGAGGCAAACTGTCAGACGGCGACGCTCCCATGCCTGGGAGATATTCAACCTCAACAGCCGATGATTATGTCGAGAAAGTTCGTGTGATGATCCGTGGAAATTGTCGTTCTACTGTTGGAGTATTTGCTGACGAACTGGGCACCAGTGTACAATAATGTCATCAAATTCTAGCGCGTTTGAGACATGCTATATGCAGTAGGAGGTCTGAACTTTGTGAAAACCAGACTTGGGTTTGTATGATAAAAAGCAGTAGCAGTGACGTTTTGCTACTTTTGCTCAACATATTTACGCTCGCTTTTAAAAACGGAGTATAGCATAGTCAATGGGAAACTTCTCTCTTTATCGCGCGACACAAAAATAGCGCCGTCCATGAAGTTAAATACGTTCGTCCCATCAATCATACACCCATCGTACCTAGATTAATGCAAAGGATAGTGAAAGATGAACTATTTTTATTCTAGAACAAGGCTATTCGCAACACGGCTTCATGCGAGGCCGATGCTGCGCAATATGCAAGGGAGACTTTTCAAATCACACGACGGATGGCGTAGACAACGGAAACAGTGTTGTAATCCTGTTCCTAGAAATGCAAAAGCCTCCGATAGAGTACCTCACAGAAGGTTACTGAAGAAACTGGTTATAGACATTAGAGAACCTAGGTTTTCTTAGCTGTCTTCATATATAATTTATAGACCGCAGGTGGTGCGCATCGGCGACCATTTCTCTAAACCGAAAGTAATCACTAGTGGAGTGATTAAAGGAAGCGTTCTTGGTCCTCTTCTTTTTCTAATATACACTAACGATATACTCCGGCGAATAAGAGATGATGTTACATTTATCTTTGCTGATGACAGTACAGTTGTCTACTCACAACCAAAGTACATACCCAGGTGGCGTACTTCTCCTTGAGGATAACCTATCCGCCCTTGACTCCTGGTGCCAACTGATGACAGATCGTCTTTTTGCCGTGGGACAAGTGTAATATTTGTCCTAACAAAAGCCAAGTACAACCAGGCAGTTCGGTTAATTACAAGGCGCATACCTATCGCAATGCAGGACAGTCGCGACTTTTAGCTTTTCTGAACATTGTGACTTATATGTTAAGTGGAATTCATGAAGACTATCGGTTACATCTGCCATCAATTTTATCCTCACGGGATCTTCGCATATTACTTTGGAAGACATATGTATTTCCGTGCATCAAATACTGCTCAGTGGTCCAGTCTAATCTGCGGAAGTATCAACAGCGTTCTGTCAAGAAGGTCATGAGACGTTACATGAAAAAGCTATGTGGATATTCCTCAAAGTCAACATACATAGAGCGATGGGCTACACTTGGATGATTTGACCAAGTTTGACTTCGAAAATTGATGCTGAACCCATTTTTCTTTACAGAATCATAAACTGTCAAATTTGTGATCTTGCTTATGATGTTCGCACATTTGTAAACGGCAGATATCCAACCAGTAACAGAGCGAAAATGTCATGATTACAAAATTTACTACGAGAATCAGTGAATGTTTCTTACTATCTCACTAGTCAAATATTTGGTACCAACCTTCATGTTATAACAGAACATGCTATATACTTTGAAATTTTAAGCATGTGTCTACTAAGCAGTTAACTGTCCATAATGTGATTAATATCTACGGAACATCACAGTACCTAGATAAGGCTTTCGAAAACAGAAACGATGGAGCCTTAATAAATTTTTGAAACACATACACATAACATTTAGGAAAACAGCCCCTTTCATTTAATGTCATTTTTTCTCGGCCCAAACATCTGTCGCGTGATGGTGAAGAATCCTAGTTCAATGACGGGAAAAGATGGCAGGACGATTCTGCATTACTTTGTGTTACCTAATTTGAAATTTTGCCCATGTTTCTTCCTGAAAAGTGTTCATGAAATGTCATAGAAAGTCGCTATCATTATTTGACGTGATACTTCTAGGGAAAAGCTTTCCGCATCTCCGGGGATTATATATATATAAATATATATATATATATGTATATTTATATGTAAATAAACGCGGGAGCGTCTACGGCTCGGTAAGAGTAGTGGTGGTCATAACCGGAGTAGTTTTCCTGGGCAGGTTTTGATTCCTAGGTAGTATATCAGGCCAACCACATGAACACGCAAAACTAATAAACTTATGCTGACATTTTCTACTGCCGAGGCGGTGAGCTTCAGTGAACTTACATGCTAATCGTTCA